GGGGTATGGCCACACCGCAATCCCTTCTCCTCCATTCTCCTTTTGGGATCTTGGGCACACATGCACCCAGCGTGAGTTTAAGCCACTGGGTCTAGGACTCGAACTGCAGTCGACTACATGGGAGTCAAGTGACATAGCCATTATGCTAACTGCTGCCCCCTCAATCAATCATTTAAATACCTATTTCTTCCAGTTCTTTCAAAAGAATATTGCTTGAATTATCATATGGTTATAATAAGTTTGTATTAAATACCTAATAAATACTGACTGCCTTTTAATATTTTACATCTATTATATCGTTTAATACTCAAAATTATCCTGTAAGATAAAAATTGTTTGGTCCAGGATCTAGGGTGCCACTGTGTGATACTGGACCTAAATGGGGATCCCTGGGTTTGGATCTTGTGTTTATCTGAACGCAGTGGGCATGCCCACAGGTGGATTGTGGTGTGGTGAGACCCATTGAGGTCACTCTCTTTGTCAGGTAATAAGCTTAAAAAGAGAGAGAGGGGGACCAGCAGTTAGCGTAATGGCTATGTCGCTGGACTCCCACGTAGTCGACCGCGGTTCGTGTCCCGGACCCGGTGGCTTAAAACTCACGCCGGGCGCTTGTGCGTGCGTGCCCAAGATCCCAAGAGGAGAATGGAGAAGAAGGGATTGCAGCGTGACCATCCCCCCTGGGGGGGTGATTTCTCGCTTTCTGTCTCTCTGTCTCTCTCTGTCTGGCGAGCGCATGCGCCCTATAGCAAAAAAACCTCTCCAAGAAAAAAAAATAGAGAGAGAGAGAGAGAGAGAGAGAGAGATAGTCACCATTATTATCCACATTACAGAGCTGACAAAGGTGAGCCTTTGAGGCCCCCAATGACTCTCGTGAATGCTGAGAATCTGGGATTTGAAATAAAGCTTGTTTTAAACCACTACATGACATTGCTTCTAGTTCCTCATAGGTTTTGGTAAAAATATGGGTGTGGGGGGAAACCTAATGATTCAGGTGTTGCTGTTTAAAAACAATTTAAAAACAATGGAAAGGTAGCTCAGTGAATTTAAAACAAATTGAAAATCATCACTAATTCTAGCTAGCAGTTAAACAAAATCAGATACTCAAAACAGTAGCAGCTTTACATAAAAGACCTTTTATGCAAAAGTATTATATTCACTTTGATATTTTCTGTGGTTCTGAAATTTTGCTCCCATAATCAGTCCAGTCCAGCTTGTTTCTTAAATGCTCAAGAAACATTTTTCTCAATTTATTACCACATAAACAGCATATGAATACACTAGGTTATTTTCTACTTGAATCCTAAATAGTAGCCAACATCTTACAATGTATAGGATATTATTAAACTGTGTACAAGTACGTGGCTTTAAAAAGTGTCCTTACTTTCATTGAAATTAAAGCACTATTACCACCTATTCAAATTCAAGTTTTTTTTTTTAAAAGAATTATTTTATTCAACTTTATTTATTTTAGTTTGGTCAGTAAGGGGGAGAAAGAGCAAGAGAGAGAGAGAGAGAGAGAGAGGGGAAGAGAGAGAGAGGGAGGGAAAGAAGGAGAGGAAAGAGAGAAAGCACAGAGGGGGAGAGAGAGAGAGAGAGAGAGAGAGAGAGAGAGAGGGAGAAAGAGAGAAAGCAAGCCTCTAGGTCCAGGAATTGAATTGCCGTCGGCCATGTGGGAGTCTGGCGCCCTTAACCACCTCGCCACCTGCCAGCCCCTCAAGTTTTATCTTGAATCTATGTGTAGAGCTTTTGGTAAGGTAGTCTATTCTCATTTTTTTTTTTTTGAGAGATTTTCACTGTAGGGCGCGTGCGCTCGCCAGACAGACAGAGAGAGACATAGAGACAGAAAGCGAGAAATCACCCCCCAGGGGGGATGGTCACTCTGCAATCCCTTCTCCTCCATTCTCCTCTCGGGATCTAGGGCACTCACGCACACGCGCCCGGCGTGAGTTTTAAGCCACCGGGTCCGGGACACGAACCGCGGTCAACTATGTGGGAGTCCAGCGACATAGCCATTACGTTAACTGCTGGTTCCCTATTCTCATTTTTTTTTTCTCATTTGGTTTTAAAGACTCATAATTTGGAACATTTTAGATATAAAGTTGTGTTGATACTTTGTATTCTTTTTTACTGCTCACAACAGTCACCCATGGTTGTTTCAAAAAAAGTAAACATTTGGGAAAAAGTTAAAGGAATGAAGACACATCACACCATTTGTCTTTTCTAATATATAACAAAAATAAAGATAAAAATAAACTCACATACACAACACACACACACACACACACACACACACACACACGAAACCACCAGAAGCTGCCAAAGACAGAAAGAAAATTTTCTTCATTAACTAAAAAAGGAGTCAGCTAAGAAAAGAAACAGTATGGACCAGCTGGTACTATCATGGATGGGGCCACTGGATTCCACACGTGGCTGCAGGGTTTGAATCCTGGATCCACCAGCCTGAAAACATGCTAGGTTTGTGTATGCCCCAAATCTCAAAAGGAGAATGGAGGAGGAGGGATTGTTGGTGTAATCATAACCTATTGAGGTGCTTTCTCTCCAGCAAGTGCATGCATCCTCTAGCAAAAGGGGGGGGGGAAAGAAAAGAAAAGAAAAGAAAAAGAATAAAAGAAAAGAGATAAACAACAAATTTTTTTCTAGGAGAAATGAGAGACTTCTAAACTTAGCTCTAGAAATTTCTTCTAACCATAACTGCTAGAAATGGACATAATCTTTTTTTATTTTAAAGAATTATTTTATTTAACCTTATACATTTATTTTTAATTTGATCTGAAAGGGAGAGAGAGAGAGAGAGAGAGAGAGAGAGAGAGAGAGAGAAAGAGAGAGAAAGCAAGCTGCCAGCTTCTGGACTTGAACTGTGGTCGGCCATATAGGAGTCCAGTGCCCTTAACCACTATGCCACCTGTTGACCCCAACAATCTTGAGAATATCCTCTGTCTCATATGAAAGGATGACAATTGTAATGGTGATAGTTAAAACATAAGTAAAAAAAAGGGAAGAGAAAATAATTTACACTTTCATGGAAACATAGTCTCCAGAGCTCCATGCTGAAGAACAACGCCTATACTATATTCTCCTCAAAATAATGCTGATAATATTGCATACTTTCTTAAAACTTTTCTTGACATACAAATTCTGAACATGCAAATTCTTCTTTTTCACTCTAAATTTTTATTCTCTTCCTCTCCTAAACAAATAGTAGTTTTTCTTTGCTTTAAATATTTCAAATCATTTCTGAGAAATAGTAATTTCCAAATGTTCTTTTTATGAGTTCTTATTTACTCTTCTTCAACAACACTTACTATGTTATTGATAATTTTTGCAAATTTGTCAGATAAATTTTTAGTTTATATACGTTTCTTTTACTATAGAGTATAGCATCCTTGAGAAGATCATTCTTTTCATATTTTTATCTTCAAGGGTCAGGTAAAATACAGTGGATATGCATATATATTTAAGTGAAAATGTATGTTTCATTGGAACGTATTGCTTTTTTAAAATTTTATAATCTTTTTGATGGTGTCTTTGAATGCTTGCTTCACTTGCTGATTTCTCAGAGTGTAAATAAAAGGATTCAGCAGGGGAGTAACTGAAGTAATGAGCACAGCTATTCCTTTGTTGAAAGCACCTCCTTCTTTTGCAGAGGGATTAATGTACATAAACATGCAGCTACCATAAGAGAGGGAGATGACAATCATGTGGGAGGAACAAGTGGAAAAAGCTTTTGTTCTTTGCTGGGCAGAAGGAATCCTCAGAATGGTCCTAATAATGTATGTGTAAGAAAGTGTCACCAGCATCAGAGTAGCCACTAGAGTCACAACAGCCAAAAGGATGACCATCAGTTCTAAGAAACTTGTATCTGAGCAGGCAAGTTCCATGAGGGGCCCGTAGTCACAGTAATAGTGATTCAGAATATTAGAGGCACAGAAATCTACCTGGCTCATCAGGATGATCGGTGGTAAGATAGCTAGAAATCCCCCGAGCCAGGAGCAGAACACGAGTTGTACGCATACTCTACTGCTCATAATCGTCAGATAGTGCAGAGGCTTGCAGATGGCCACATAGCGATCGTAAGACATGGAAGCCAGGAGGTAAAACTCTGTGGCTCCCATAAAAATAGCAAAAAAATACTGAGTCAAGCAGCCAGCAAAGCTGATGACTTTATTTCCTGTTGCCATGCTGGTCAGAAATCTTGGGATAAAAATGGATGTGAAGGAAATTTCTAAAAAAGAGAAATTCCGGAGAAAGAAATACATGGGGGTTTGAAGGTGGGAGTCTAGTAAGGTGAGGATGATGATAGTGAGATTTCCTAGGACACTTAGCATGTAGGTGAGGAATAGAAAGATGAAGATCACCACCTGGACTTCAGGTTGATTCGTAAGGCCCAGCAGAATAAATTCAGTAAACATGGTCCTGTTTTTCATTGTTGACCTACAGCAGATCTAAAAAGAAAAGTTTAAAATAATGAAAATTGTAGAGTTTCTCAGAGTAGGAGAGAGAAATCTTATTTTAACCAATGGAATCAGGTGATACATTACACTCCATCTAACTGGTCCAAACTAGTGCCCCATTGGCTGTCTGGCTCCATAGATACCCTATATTTCCTTTGTAAGTAATATTCCTGAAGTCTGAAATTCCTCAAGTTGCCCCATTACTGACACTTAACAAAATGTATTACAGAATAATTACTAAAAACAGATTTTTTCAGAAAAATACTTTCTTTAGCCTATCCTTTCTCTCAAAATGTTTATAAAATCTCCACATTAAAAACATTTTCCTCTGAGACTCCTGAAACACGCAGACATGAAGCCATTTTAAATCAGAGATGCATCCTGGTTCATTCAGGGACCAAGACAACTAAAGTTATACTCTAAACCTCATCCTCCAGACTCCTGAAATGCTCAGACGAGGGAGGGAGACTTCTGTCTTCTCTCTGTCTCTGTCTGTCTGTCTCTCTCTTTATATTTTTTATTTAAAAATTTTTTAAACCACTTCCTCTCATCTCAGGCCTTTTCTTTCTCTTGCTTATTTCAGAAGTCATTTTAAATCTGAGGTTTGTCCTGGCATGGTCGCCCAGCATGGTAAAGCACTGTGCAGTTTTCATTTTTTACCTTTAAATGAAATTTTCCCCTTTTTTTGTCGTTTTGTCTAGATTTTTTTCTTTTCCTTTTTTTTCCACTTCCTCTCATCTCAGGCCTTTTCTTTCTCTTGCTTATTTCAGAAGTCATTTTAAATCTGAGGTTTGTCCTGGCATGGTCGCCCAGCATGGTAAAGCACTGTGCAGTTTTCATTTTTTACCTTTAAATGAAATTTTTCCCTTTTTTTTGTCGTTTTGTCTAGATTTTTTTTCTTTTCCTTTTTTTTTCTCTTAAACTTTACTATCTGTTCTTCAGTCTACATACAGTGAGTGTATAGAGAGACCTAGGTGCACAGTAGGCAAACATCTAAATACTTTTAGGGGTATCGAAATCCTCAATGCTTATTGAACAACCTGCTTTAAGAAAGGAACTTCTTTTTATGTATCTGAACTCATAATTTCTTTCTGTGGATACCAAATTGCAAAACACAGTAGAGGAGAGATTTTGTCACAGAATGACCTGGAAACATGGCAAAGGCACAAGAAATATGACAAACCAAGGAGATGTATCTCCCATAAGTGGAAAGAATAATCCTTCACCATCCACAGAGAGTACAGTGAGACTCATGGAAATGTCTGATAGAGAATTCAGAATATTCATCATGAAAAAACTAAATGAGATGCAAGAGCTGAGAGAGAATGAACTCCAAAACATGCAGGAGAAAAGAGACAACGAGTTCCAGGAGGTGTTGAAGTTCTTCCATGACATGAAAGAGGAAATACACATTGTAAAAAAGAATCAAATGGAGCTATTAGAGGTGAATGCTGTCATACTCTCTCAAAAGTATTAAAAACAGATTAGTCCATGCAGAAGATCAAATCTCAGATGTTGAAGGAAAAACTTCCAACCTAGAAAAAACAACCCAAAAAACTGAGAAAATAACCCCCCAAAAATGAGAATACTATACGAGAAATACTAGATACCATTAAGCATCCAAATGTCCAGATAATCAGTATCCCAGAAGGTGAAGAAACTACTAAGGGCAATGATAGTCTATTCCATGAAATTCTGGAAGAAAATGTTGCTAATCTAGAGAGGCATTCATGTATTCAGATCCAAGAAATACAAAGGACACTTACACCAAATCAACCCAAGATCTTCTCCAAGACAAAGACAAGATACTAAAATTGGCAAGAGAGAAATGCTATGTTACTTATAAAGATTATCCCATCAGGTTAACATCAGACCTCTTATCAGAAACAATGCGAACATGGGACCAGCAATTAGCATCGCCCGCCCCATAAAAAAAACCCCTCAAAAAAAAAAAAAAAAAAAAAGGAACAATGCAAGCAAAGGAAGAATGGGAAAATGTTTTCAAAGCGTTAAGTGGAAAACTGTTTCAGATAAACAAGAAAAGATAAAAACATTCTCAGATAAACAAAACCTGAAAGAATTTACCAACACTAGATCAGTTCTTCAAGAAATTCTAAAAGGAGTGAGTGCTTTACCAAGAAAACTAAAGACACACATACAGAAATAGAGAACAAAAATCAACCAAGGGTGCTCGCTTCGGCAGCACATATACTAAAATTGGAACGATACAGAGAAGATTAGCATGGCCCCTGCGCAAGGATGACACGCAAATTCGTGAAGCGTTCCATATTTTTTGTAATCCAATGTAATATAAAGAAGATTATGATAATAATAAAAAAAAAAAGAAAAAAAATCAACCAAGGAGAGGACCAACTTAATGCTAGGGACAAGAAATACCAATAATAATGTTAAATGTTAAATTCTAGGATTTAAATGGAAAGATTGGATCACAGTAACACTGCAAATTCAACAGAAGAAAGGTTAATTATGTAAGATTGAACTGGGGAAATAGAAATTTATCACTTTTGAGTAAAACATTACTGTCTTTTTATTTACTATGCTTTGCTTTCCCAATTTAAGGATTTTGCTTTCTTTTGAGGCATTGATAGGTTTAGCAATTTATTACTATGTTTTTTCTTCTTGTTTCTTTGTTTCTTTAAATAGAAATATAAACTTTTTTCCTTTCCTGACCCTTCTGGAATTGGAAAATATTTGGGAGTTTTCTTATTTTGTTGCAGAATGGTTATTTGCATAAGTTCAATAATACCTGTTGCCTTGAATTAGAAATTGTAAATATTCGTTATTGGACAGGGCTTTGACTGGAATTTCATGTCTGAAGATAAAACCAGAAAACTATGAAGCTAAGGTAAATTTCAAGTAAGCCAACAGAAGGTCTTGGAAAGATGGCCTGGTATCATGAATAGTTCTGCCTGGCAGAGAGGATTAGAGAATCTATATGAAGAATTTTTATCATAAAATAACCTGGACTTTTCCAATCCTGCATTGTAATCAGTAGAGATTACAAAAGAGTTGCCACAACCAGAGGATTATCTTGAGGGAGACTTTGAAGGACAGAAAAGAGACTAATCTTTGCTAGCAGATGATATATCACAGACTACTTGATAGGCAGGGTTGAATTGAGAAGGTTCATGTGTGAATTGTGTGCTGGGTGTTTGCTTTTTAATAGTTTGAGTAGATGACATGTAAATATTTTTTCAATAATATTCAAAACCATAACCTCTCTGTTATAGAGTCACAAACAAAATTATAACAAGTATTTTGATAATTATCTTTAAATTCAGTTTCTTGAAAATTTGAAAGTTGTTTATTAACTGTAAAGAACAATGGAGTATGCATGCCAGGCGCGTGTGCGTGCGTGCCCAAGATCCCGAGAGGAGAATGTGTGACCATCCCCCCTGGGGGGTGATTTCTCACTTTCTGTCTCTCTGTCTCTCTCTGTCTGTCTGGCGAGTGCATGCGTCCTATAGCTATGGAGTATGAGCAAAAATCTTGTTTGTGGGAAAATGTAAAAATAAATAAATAAATGTTTTTTAAAAAATCACTTTCCTCTGACTCTACTCATCCCTCCTACTTTCATGCTTCTGGTATAAATATCTCTACTTGATTCTGTTCTGTGCGTTCCTGTTTGTCTGTCTGTCTGTCTTTCTTTCTTTCTTTATTTCTTTCTTTCTTTCTCTTTCTTTCTCTTTCTTTCTTTCTTTCTTTCTTTCTCTCTCTCTCTCTTTCTCTCTCTCTCTCTCTCTTTCTCTCTCTCTCTCTCTCTCTTCCTTCCTTCCTTCCTTCCTTCCTTCCTTCCTTCCTTCCTTCCTTTCTTTCTTTCTTTCCTTCTTTCCTTCTTTCTTTCTTTCTTTCTGTCTCTGTACTATTTGGTGCTCTCTACTATAGACCTCCTCCATTACTGTCCAAATCTCTGACATTCTTGTTTTGGAAACAAGTAAGAATTTATCACACAGACAATGCTGAAAATTATCTTATTTTATATTGTGAGTCTTTTCCTCTACACAAATAATGCTTAGGCATCAATAAATTATATTGATTAGCATTTATCTCTGAGAACAAAGATTTTGAAAGATCTATAGGTAGTATTGCACAATAAATTTTGCTCAAAATCTTAACGAGTTCTCAGTGGCAATGAAAGATGATAGTTCATCATGACTCTAACTTTCCTGTACTGTTTTTGGTCTACAGAAACCAGGAAAAGAGACATCCACATTTATGACAATAAGAGTCCTTTGCAGAGAAATTGCTAATTCCCAGGAAAAGAAACTTTTGTGGTAGTATCCTAAGTGAATCTTTAGATTTTTCTGATTAATAGTCAAAGATAACACAAAGGAGAACATCTAATTCACATCCATATAGGCTATAAAACTTATATTGTCACATTCATTTCAATTTCTCCACTTTCCCATACGTCTTTTGGAGATACTAGGTGATGTTAAAGATTGACTTAGATCTACTATGGCTTTCCCTCCCCTTTTTATACTAACCTGTAGTCTTTGGTGAGTATTGCATTTTCTTCCATATTTTCACAACTGACTGACTTCATGATCCTTATTAATAGAATGATAATGGCAGTGACTTTAAAAACATAATGCTCACATCTTTGAAAGTCTGAATGGCTGTAGTGGGCTGTATCCTATTGTTCCCAAGGGAAAAATTAAAGATAAGATGTCCTATGTGAATCTCTGAGTAGTATAAAATTTACAGGTTTTCTATTGGTTTCCTATATACATTTTACTCTTTTTAAATAAAAGGATCCAAGTTTGTGGGGCTTAACTTCTTTCTAAGAAGATTCTAAGATAATCTTCCATTCTGAGAATTTAAATCAAAATCAAATCACAATTTCTGAGAGACACAGTCCTTCACATGTGTAATCAAAAAGAAAAATGAACACCACTCCAACAGATAAAGAATTAGAGGAGAAGACAACTTTGATAGACTCAAAATTTCTT